TTAATCATAACTAAAAACCCACATCTAACTTTACTAGCTTTAAACTCAACCAATTTAAAATCTTCAAAATCAAAGTCCTCTTAAATTAATTACCAATATACTTTTCTTAGTACAATTCTTATCTAATGATCTTTCCAAATGGCAACTGTTTTCGATGCAATCTTTTGACTTTCACTTATACTGGTTAACTTGTTTTATTTCATTTCTTGTTATAAACATTATTAATTCATCAATCCAGTACATTTTATCTAAAGCAGATCTTAACTTATTTACTAGCCAACTATATGAACTTATTTACAAAATCCAAAATCATTTTTTATTTGACTGAATATCATTTCAAGCAAACTCTTTTTATCTCAACCTTATTCTTAAAGGCCTTATACCTAAAGCCCTAATTGAAACAATTTATAACTATAACATACCTATTAAAATAGTCTTACAAACTATTATCCAAATATTTCTTAATATTAATGACCAAATCTATAATCAAATATGAAAACCTTATTGCATTAATTTTTCTAACTAGAAAAAAGATAATAATATTATATCTCTTCTAAGCTCTAATAATAACCATACTCTCTAACAAATACAGTAAACTAGACATCACAAGAGATCACATATAAACTATACATACTCATGTCTATGTGGAATAGCAGATCAATTACATTTATATTCTAATATCTGCCCACCAATTAGACAAGTTGTTAGAAAAATCAATATATGATTAACACTTTGGATTAATCATAGCATATCTTACAACTACATTTTAATATTACAAATCTAGGTGGATCTTGACTACCATAGTTAGTTTAGGTCATAGATAAAACTGTCTGAGCTTTAATTCTTGCATATAGTTTTTATTTTGTAGTTTATAATCTTAGTATATCTTAGTATATCTTAGTATATAGTATATTAATATGTACAACTAAAATTACTAATAAAGATATGAGCAAGGCCTTACCTTAATACCAAAAAAAAAATTTTTTTAAAAAAAAATCTTTTTAAATTTTATTTTATTTTTTACTTAATAAAAGTTTAAAACAAATATATTTCAATAAACATAAAATTATTTAAAGAAGTTATATGATATGTAATCATAATTACTCCAAATTAGAAAAACCTAACCTACTTAGACTATATTGATTAAATAGGTTATAAAAACATATAGAATAAATAGGTGTTTAAAATAATATAGTAGAAGTAATAAATATAAAAGGTTATATAAAGTAAATAATATTAAAAATAATATAATAAAAGTAGCAAATATAGAAGGTCAAATATAAATAAAGAATTATAAGATAAATAAAAACTATAAAAAATCTAAAAAAATAAGAAGATTTTTGAACTTTACTTTATTAAAAATAATAATTAATTTCTTATATAATAATAAATATATAAACATCTTTTTTGCATATTAACTAATTGCTAAATCTTTAAATATAAGAATCTGATTTTTGTAATTATTTATTCTTATCTAATATATTATTACATTTTCATCTGACTGTTATACTCTAAAATATCAGAATTAGTTATAGTTATATTGTTTTTCTATTCAAAAAATTAAGAATAATTAAGGTTATATATTGTTGTTTAATTATCTAATATAATAAAATAATTAATAATAAAGTTAGCAAAAACTTAAGACAAGAAAATTATAAAACAATAAAGAAGAATTACTTATCTAAAAACCCAAACTATTAATTAAATATAAACACCTCTTTCTGACTAAGCCAACTATAGATTATACAAAAATTTGGATTATAAAGTAACTGACTTACAGTTTAACCTGCTTTCAATATATATATAAAATTTTATACTAAATAAGTTTAGTTAAAAAATTAAAATAAGTTATTTTAATAAAAAAAATTACATTTAAATAAATGAAAATATTTAATTTTAATAAGTTAACTCATTTTTGTGCTAAGGCATCCTATTTTTGCCTTTTAAATAAATTATTTGACATATAATAATTATTTTAAAATTGAAAAATAATTATTTTTAAAGAAAATACATCTTCAAAATAAGCAAAATTAACAAAATTTTAATTTAGTTTTTAAGTTAAAATTTTCTTTCTCTGTTCTATATAATTGCAACATTTAATTTTAAGTTACTTAGTTTAGTTAAAAAAATTCTCAGCTCAGAGTTTATAGTATATTCATATAATTTTAATTGTAAACAACATTTTAAGAAAAATGTTCAATGCCTACTAGGCTTATTAACAAATTTTAAACATTTTTAATAAATTAATAATATAAGTCATACATTCTTAAAATTTAATTTTGTTATTTATAAAATCTCGAGCAATTTAATTGCTATTAATATTATCAATTAATTCTAAAATTTTCAATCTCTGAAGTGATTTCTTTCATATCAATAAATTTGGAAATATACATCATATTATCATGTTTTTGCAAGGCTATTGGCAATTTTTTGATTGATTCATCAGCTTCCAAAAATTGCTGTTTGATCTCTTCATCTGAATAAATACATTGTTTGTCTAATTTAACATTACTGTCATTGATGACTATAGATTTTTTCCATTTTTTAAGTTTATTAAAAATCCCAAAAGTTGTAGATCCTTTTTTCATATCTGATTTAACATTACTATCATTAACAACTATAATGTTTTTCCAATTTTCAAGTTTATTAATAACCTCAACAACCATAGGTCTTTTTTTTATATCTGAATTAATGCATTGTTTGGCTAATTGAACATAACATTTTGGTGTCTTTATAATAAACTCAGGCCGTAATCCATGACAAATCATAGCCGCTAATTCAGCATCAAAATTGTAACCATCGAAAGGTTTTTGACCAGTTAATATTTCAATCATAATAATCCCAAAACTGTATATATCAGCAGCTTGTGTGAAATGTTCACCTTTCAAGACCTCAGGTGCCAAATATGGCAAAACACCATAAATATGGCTATCTTGTTTTTCGTCAACCGATATCGATGAACCTAAATCAATATAAGCATCATATCGTTCTTTTAATAAAATATTACCAGAATGTAAATTTTGATGTATAAAGTTTTTAGAATGAATATTTGATAGATCATTAACGATATTGCATAATATTTTAAGTTTAATTTTCCACTCCGATTTAAATATACCGTTAAGATTGTCACGTAATGATCCAAATTTTGCGTAACTTAAAACTAAAATAAAATCTCCTGTATTTTTATCCATTGAAATTCCTTTATATTTCCCAAACTCGTGATACGCCTTTAACTAAAAAATATTCAATTTGCTTAATTAATTTATATTCAATTAATAAACAATGATATAAATTTACACGTAAAATAAAATACCTTGTTTAAAAAAAGTTGTTTATTCTTATGTGAATCTTTTATTATCTTGATTGCAACTTCTTCATACGTTCCAAAGGACGCTTCATATGATGTTTTGTACACTACAGAAAATCCACCTTTACCTACTTCTTCAATATTTCTAAACTTATATTCTATCCATCGGAAATAGTTGTTACCATTAGTACATTTATGCTCAGTAACTGCAGATTTTAAATACCATTCAAATGCCAAATCTTTATTCTTTTCTACACCAATCCCATTTTGATAACACAAACCAACACGATACATTCCACAACAAAATCCATATTCGGCACTTTTTAAATCATATTCAAAAGCCTTTCGTTCATCCTTTTCAATTCCCATTCCATAAAGATAACAACGTCCAACATTATATGCTCCTTTTGCGAGCTTCATCTCTGCAGATTTTTGATAATAAATGAATGCCTCATGTTCATCCGTTTCAACTCCAATTCCTTTTTCATAACAATATCCAACGCTATTTATTCCATCAGCGTACCCCATCTCAGCAGATTTTTGATAATAAATAAATGCTTTATGTTCATCCTTTTCAACTCCAAATCCATTATTATAACAATTTCCAACAATACGTGTTCCATTAGCATCCCCCATCTCAGCAGATTTTTGATAATAAATAAATGCTTTATTTTTATCCTTTTCAATCCATTTACCAAACTCGTAACAAGTTGCTAGAATGTATTGAACCATAGGATCTGATTCATTATCTAAGCAATATTTAATAATACTATCCGGATTTTGCCTTTTTTTTATTAGAATTTGTTCCAAGGCGTCAATAATTGAACTAAATTGTTTGCCTTTCATTGCTTCTTCATTACACAAATTATACATTTCTTTAATAATTTCATTGAGAAAATTCCGAGACTTATCTTCTAAACGCAGTTGATTAATTTCGTTGGATATTTTAGTAACATCTAATGGGTTGTCGATTTTTTCGGACTGTTTTGCGTTTGACATTTTGACGAAACGTAAGAATATGTTGCAAATATGCAAACTGGTCAAATTAATTGACTATATTAAAATATACTTTATTGCATTGTGTAACGTTCATTTTTGTCTTTCGATGCAATTACGTACGTACGTACGTGTATCACATACGCAATGTAACACCTTATAACGTTTGTTACTGATAGGTGTTTACTAAAGTAGTACTGTACGAGTAGTACAGATTTAGATGGACGTACGAAAATTTAACTAAATTTTAATAGTACGTACGTTTGTTTTTTTTATACTAGTACGTACGAAAAATAAATTATTTTTTATACTAGTACGAATTTATATTATAATTAAGTGAAAGTATTAATTATTAAATGAAGTGAAAAGTACTGACTATTGAATTAAGTGAAGGTATTAAGCATTAAATTAAGTGAAAGTATTATATATTTAAATTAAGTGAAAGTATTATTAAATTAAATGAAAGTATTAAATTAAGCGAAAATTATAAATTAAACAAAAGTATTGAGCTTTAAATCATTTAACTTTAATAAAGATAAACTAAATATGTAGCATTCGCTCTTTACATTTTTAAGCATATTTTAGCCTTAGCATCTACATATAATGCAAATTAAGCATTTTTTTTACATTGTAATATTTAAACTATAATATAGCAATATGGTTTTTATATATCTAATCCCAAGCTTATTTTTAATTGTCAATTCTGCAACTCAATTGCTTCAGCTTCAGCTGCTTCTTTTCTTGCCTTTACTTGACATTCTAGCAAAGCTATTTTTCTTTCTTCAAGTTCAATACTTAACAAAGGATCATTTTCTTTATTACCAGTAGTTTGAGTTATAACTTTATTTTCTTTACTGATTTCATTATCTGAATCTGAATTTATTACATTCACAATAGTTTCCAATTCAGCCATTACTTCATATTTCATTTGAGAATTAGTTTCTTGACGTAATTTTTTCTTTTATTGTTAATGATTGGTGTTTTTTATTAACTTGATTTAATTCTTGAGGCTAAATTAAAATAAAAATGTATAAAAAATATACTGAATAAATAATATTTAAATTTTATATTACCTTTTCGGTTAGATGCAATTTGTTGTCATTTAACTTTACTTTTGTTATGTCAAGTATATGGTATATTTGAACTTTCATAAGTATTTTTAATTTTTAATGATTTTTCATCATGTTATTTTCCACTAAAAAATAAAAAATAAAATTTAATTAAATAAATTATAAAAATTTAAATAATATATTATTATAGTATTACCATAATATTGCTGATAAAAGTTTTAATTGTTTTCTTTCTCTATTTATTAAGGCATGAGCTGCTTCAGCGATATTAGTGTTATTACCATACTTTCTCCATATATAATGTTCCATTTTAGTTTTATTAATATTTAATGAAGAAATTATCCAGGGTGTTTAATAATACTTTGACCATTCTATTAAAATTTTTTTTTTAAATATTTATATTTATTATAATTAATTTAATTTATTTAATTTACCTTTAGCATTTGGTTCATTAGGAAATTCAATTTCTTTTAAAACTAATTCTATTGATTCTTGAGAGGAAGCATTAATAATTGACTTTGCTAGATTTTAAATATTTTGTGAAAAATGTTTATTCGCCAAATTCCTATATTATATAAATTAATATAAATTAAATAATTATTTAATTAAAAGAAATATAATATAAATTAATATTTACCGATAAAAATATACAACACAAGACTTAAAAATATACATTAAATGTGTTTTCCAATTTTTAGATAGGTTTAATTCATATAATGCAAGTTCTAATCCTTTGGCTTGCGCAATATCTAAATCTCCCAATATACATTCCCAA